ATGCTAACTTTTGTTTAAAAAAGGATCATGTAAATGACTATAGAACATTAACTCGAAAACCGAAATGATGTTGCAAAAAAATGTCTTCAGTTTGTGTTCTTTGCGGATACATTGGGGAGAGTGTCAAGTTTAGAAATACATTATGTAGCATATTCAGGTTCTTTCAGGACAAAGGACTGGTGGAGACGCGATAACTTAACCAAGCGACTGTTTTATTCTTTTATCGCAACCATACAAATCCAAACACAGGATATACACACACATGAGAAGACTGACAGTACAGGTACACATCTTTAGGGTGGTAATTACTTAACAACAGGCTATACACTATTATTGCTACACAGGACACTAGAACAACTATAACATTATTTACACATGTAGGGTCAGCTGCTGGTCATCGTGCTGACCCTCAGACTCTCCCCGGCTACAACTCCCAGCATGCCCAGCAATACAATGAGCACCTACTGTAGGGCCGCATCCTCCTCACCACTGGGCGAGGGCGTTACAATAATTACAATGGGCCCGATAAACAGTACTTTCATAAAGTTCACAATTTTGTGCTTAATTCAAAATGTGTAAAATTAATTAATTGGTTTGGTTTCTGGGACTGAATAACCGGTTTGAGAAATTGTGTCTTCAGTTCCCCTTTAATGAGGCTGATCTAATTTGATAGTATCTGAGGAACATCGCAAGCCAAGGCATCCCTATTTGCCAAACAAGTGGGCTGCACACCTATTTTTTTATCCCTTCATGCTGATTGTAAGACTTGCCCAAGTGTATAGCAGGAGTTTGCATAGTAAGCTCTCATTTCCTTGAACAGGCCATCAAAAAAAACAATAAAAATTAGCTTTGATTTAACAACTTACTTCTTGTCACCTTGTGATTAGGAGGCATGCCTCAAGTGATAGTGACATTTTGTGAATTTAAGTATGAGGCTTCTCTATATCGTCAGGAAAACTGCAAAAATCACTCCCCATTATCCATTCAAAAAAACTGTTTACACCTCTAAAGGTCCTTAAGGTTCATAGCATCCCTGACCAAATCCTGGAAGCACAGGTACATGACAGGACTGTATTCCTAAGCAGGACACCGGTCCATCACAGGGCATGCATGCTTGCACACAAGGTCGGGTATACTTGAGAGACAGCAGTTAACCTTACCAAGCATATCTTGGGAGGCTTTTGAGAAAATCAGATCACCCCCAGCAAACCCTAACAAACACCAGGAGAACATACAGTTCACTCCACACAGAAGACACTCAATCAAACCTGGGCCCAAGTAATTACAGTATGAGTCAGCAGGCCTAACCAGCACAACATTATGCTGCCCATACTTTCTATTATTAAATAGATCATGAAAAGCTGAATGTACTTACAGAAAAGCATTGCTTATCAGTACTTGTACTGGGATTGTGTAAAAATGTATGAAGTAACCAATGAAGTTTGTGAATTTATCATGGACTGAATATGATCTGTGGACCACAGGTTAGGAACCACTGGTCTCCTTTACAGTAGAAAAGAAACAAAAATGAGATGTAAGCAGCATTGAAAACAACATTATGTAATTGATCAAATTGCTGATGTCATTTAGACTCCTATTATTGAATTTGAGTAATTTCATTAAGGTCGATTTTATTTTCTATAGGAAAACAAAGTAGAAAATACCTGTACCTTACATTATTTTAGATCAACTTTGTGTGTGTTAAATTAGAGTTACTGGAAGGAGACATTTTAGCATATAAAAGGAAATTATTGGGTTAACACATAAGGTCTTGTCATTCACAAGCTCTTATTAATGTTACATACTCAATGACTAAATCATGCATCATTTAAAATTAAGTCATTATGCATATGAGAAGAATCAGATGGTACAATTGAAATCAAACAATGGGAAATTCATTGTTAAAATGATGTTGGATTTTTTTTGTTTGTTTTCTTATGCATACAGGTGAAAGATACAGGAGATATTGAGGTATTGAAGAACTGGTGAGTGTTGCTTTTACTTTTGTTTAATAAATAACCGTTCAGTTTTCAACATTTTCACTAGTAATTACTTTATAAAATTGTTCTTTTTTCAACAGACTTGACTGTCCCATCTTATTAAGAGTCTTAAGTGAAAGCCCTGTATTGAGAATATGAGCATATTTGATTATGATGCAGTTTTGGCCCACAACCCTGCACATGTGAATCCATTGTTCCACACATTGCAAATAATATCAAATAATTTAATTTAATAATTCAAAATGTATTCAATTTAAAGTGGATAAACAATAAATGAAGATGAAAGTATTACCAGGGTGGGGTTGCTTGTCTCTTTGTTTAGCTGCAAGTTGGATGCAAGGGTGGTAAAATATCCAACAATGAAATAACTTGAAAAATGTTTAATACATTGTGTACTGCAACTTCTAAAGGTATTAGGACAGCAAGAAAAAAGCTGTTTCTCTTTAAAGTCATATTTGTGATTATGAGATTAATATGAATGATAAGCGTAATATAATACAGTATATGTTTTATTTTATCATTAAAGTCCATGATGTGACCTTCACCGTGCTTCACAGATGTCAAAGCCTAGAATGCATCACCACCTCTGGAACTGCCTCACTCATCTTTATAGATGATGTAACTTATGCTTGCTGCAACAGGAAGAGTTATGATATTTACAGAAATATTTTCCCTGTATATGTAGGAGAAAATACTTCTCATATTTTTCCCTTAATAATCCATACCATACTAAACCAAGCACCATGAAAATATTCCAAAATATATGATTAATTCAACCAAAGAATTCATCAGGAGAAAAAGAGGATTAAGGAGTAGCCAATGAAGTAAAGACACTGCATGTTATTCCAAATGACCACACATTTTACATATTGAAAATATCACCCCTAATCTAGGCTAGAACTCAAACTGTCTGCAGCAAAATCCTTGAAAAGAGCCTTCAATGATTATCTAAAGGCTTCAGTCTGAAGACTTCAGTGAATTCAGTGGAATGCACCGTTCATGCAGTTCTTGACTCAATAGGATCTGCAGCCATGTACAGTAATAACTTATTCTGAAATTTACCAAAAGTGACTATATCTTAATACTCTTAATTGAAATCAAATCACGTGATTAAACTGAAGGTGTGTTGTTCTAATATGATAAAACATATGACTTACCCAAAAAACAGTATACGTGCCATTCATATTAATATCATGATCATGAATACAAATAGGTTGACTGAAAATAAACAGTTTTGACATTGCTGTTTAAGTACCTGTATAGGGCACTGTATGTAATAATTTTCAACTGATCGACACTGCTACCATTCTACTTGAAATAGATTCCTTGTTGCTCCACTGTTGAGCTGATGCAACTTTTCTGGTTTAACAGTACAATGGAAGAGTATGTACAATATGGCATTACACATCTTAATTTTATTATTTTTAAAAGATCATTCATAATTATTTATTTGAAAGCATAAGTGTAAATCTTAGTTCTCCATACATTAAATATTGTACTAGTTCAGTTCTTTTACGGGTGTGGGATATGGATATGAGTACTCCATTAAGAATCTAAAAATCATGTGACATCTGGAAATCTTTTCTATCTTGCTTTGCCAGGATACAATGATTTTACTCTGATTATTTCAAAACATGTTTTTATTATTTACTGTAATTCTGAAATACACCTCTGTACTCATGGTTATTGAACATTTGATTTAAAAGCTGTTTCTTTTCAAATATATTTTCAAAAAACAAAAACTCATTTCTGGCACTATTTTAAAGTTTATTTTTTCATTTGATACTGAGTAATATTTCTTTACAAAAATAATCTAAATCTTTTATCGAAGATCAATAACTTCAATAAAAATTTGGTAATAACGTGGAAGGAGATGTCTCCTCTTCTGCATGAAAATTTGTAGTGACAAACTTGAACTCAAACAATACATTTAGTTCTATACACTTATTTTGCATGGTTTGTTTTTGCTATTGCTTTTTCTGTTCTATCATTTTTTGTGTATGGAGCATTGTGAAATAACTATAAAGTATATGCATGAGAAATCAGAT